TCGGCTCCAAAAACAGTAGGTTCACTGCAGTCACGCTGCAGCTCAGTGGCTCAGTTGATCCCACATGCCAGCATTGGCATGTCCCCCTCAGAACCTCTGCAATGCCGTTGGGCACTGCAGGGCGTGTGAGTGAAACATTCCATCAGAGCATGAGAAAAATCCAATCCCTTGGTTGACAGTGAACTCTGCCATCTGCCATGCAATTGCTCTCTAATACTGATGTGCCTCACCCACCTCCCTGCACACCCAACTCAAACCCTGTTGACAGGAAATGACAAGCTGCCAGTGGATTACAGACTGGGGTCTAAGTGTATTTTTGTCCTTCCTGACGTCAGACGTTGCTGGGATATGGTGTGCTAGTTATATTACAGGGTCAGTAGCTGATAAGAGTTTAAAACAACTAATTTAATAAAATTTGGGTTCAAATCCCTCTCCCCCCAACACCTCATGGTGGTTCACAACATAAATGCTGTTTTTAGCAAACATCTGGCAATTAAAGAGACAAAAGTGACCAAGAAGCTGTCAGATTGTTGTAAAAAAAACCCAATAAGTTTCACTCTCATTTCCTGAAGAGAAGGAAATCCATGCCCTTTAACCTGATCTGGTCAATAGGGGCAGCTTGGTGGCTCAGTGGTTAGCACTGCTGCCTCACTGTGCCAGGGATCCGGGTTTGATTCCAGTCTCGGGTGACAGTCTGTGTGGAGTTTGCGTGTTCTACCCATGTCTGCGAGGGTTTCCTCCATGTGGTCCGGTTTCCTCCCGCAATCCAAAGATGTGCAGATCAGGCAAATTGGCCATGCTAAATTGCCCTGTAAGTGTCCAGGGATGTGCAGGCTAAGTAGATTAGCCATGGGAAATGCAGGGATAGCATAGTGAGGTGGGTTTGGGTGGGATACTCTTTGGAGTCGCTGTGGACTCGATGGGCCAAATGGCCTGCTTCCACACCTGCTTTCATTTCCCCGATGAAGGAGCAGCGCTTTGAAAGCTTGTGATTTCAAATATACCTGTTGGACTATAACCTGGTGTTGTGTGACTTTTGACCTGCTCCCACACTGTAGGGATTCTATGATTCGTGCCTCATTCAGGGGAAAACAGACTATGGAGCCAACTTGGCTGGCATGGTTCAATACCAAGCCATGTGGTGCCTTTGTCCAATAAATTTACTGCTGAGATTAGAACTCTGAACGCTGAGGCTGCTTGTGTTGTTCTTTCCAGCCCAGGGCAAGAGCAGCATTTGAGCAAAGATCAGGTGCTAACTCACTGTGCAAACGTAGTAAAATGTTAACACCGAGTGGGTTGGGGATAAGTGGGGTTGAGCACAAGGTATTCTTACTAATTCAGGATGGCGACACAGAGGACGTTAACTCTGAGCATTCAAGGCCATACTGTCATTCTAATGACTTGTGGAATGGGCAGAAAGTGGTAGCCAGTAGAGACGAGTGAAGGTTTAGGTGGTAAAGACACTGCTGTTGGGTACTAGAGGAAAACTCATAAGGACAAAATATGGCACTGGAAGAGAGTTTCAGGAGGCCTATGGAGTGGATAAGCAGAGTGCAGGTTATGGGGGTCACAGCATTCATCGTGGGATTCAGTGGATGAAATTTTGCATTTCTTTTCCTTAGAAAGGAGGCATTTTCCACTTATTCACAGTATGTCCTTCAATGCTCAGAGTTAACGTGTTCTGCGTCACCAACCTGAACTAATAAGGGCATTTTGTGCTCGACCCCACTTCCCCCCAACCTCTCCTCTAATTCCATCCTACTCTGCTCACCCCAAGCCCACTGGGTGTTAACGTTTGTATTACGTTTGCACAGTCAGTTTGCACCTGATCTTTGCTCAAAATGTTGCTCTCACCCTGGGCTGGAAAGAACAACACAAGGGCCTCTTCTGTTCACAGGTCAGCTACAGACCTGTTTCAGGCAGTAAGGAGGAATCTGGGAATAGGTGTAGGCCACTCAGCCCATCAAGCCTGCTCTGCCATTCAATGGATGATCTGTGTCTCAGCTTCATTTACCTACCTAGGTTGTGTAACAACTAAGACCCCCATGCCTAATAAAAATCTGCATGAACATCGAGGTGGATTCCTTACTTACGGCTCAGTTAAATTGGAATCAGGGTCCCAAGGATACATTAGAACTCTGACTTACATAATCTCACAAGACCACCACCCGATTTATTTGGGCACCTTATCCAAATTAAGACTCTTCCTGGTTAAAATGAACAATATCAGGAAAGGGTTGAGCTACGAGAGTATTAGCTGGCACCCTCCCTTGTGACCATCCGCATGTACAGTTCCCGCCCAGGCTAAAAATCAAGCCTATGCTTCTTAAAGTGTTTGAAAGCCATATGAAAAATGCTGATCAAAACAGTGAAAGGCATAATTCCAGACACAGAGGGTAAACCCACTGGAAATGCTCTATAGATCAGATGGCGTTAGCAGAGAAACAACAAGTCATGTCCATCAAACATTTCAGATCTCAAATTTCACTATTCTCCCAAGCCAGAATGGATGTTGAGTAGTATTTCACTGGCCTTTGGCTCCTTCATGACGATTCAGTGTTACCTTATTGGATTATGTACTCAGATCAGTTACATGAGTGGTCATTTCCAAACAGTTGATGAATACAATTGGCGAAACACAGATCTAAATTTTCAGGCACTCTGCTATCTTTTGAAGAATCACTAGCTTGGTAACATTCCATTCTGCACAAGGCCATAAGACCATAAGATACAGGAGCAGAATTAGGCCATTTGGCCTATCGAGTCTGCTCTACCATTCAATCATGGCTGATTTGTTTGTCAACCCTCTTCTCTTGTCTTCTCCCCATAACCCTTGATCCCCTTACCAATTGAGAGACTATCTATCTCTGCCTTAAATACACTCAATGACTTGGTTCCAATGTCATTTCCAGCCCAGGGCGAGAGCAGCATTTGAACAAAGATCAGGTGCAAACTCACTGTGCAAACGTAGTAAAATGTTAACACCGAGTGGCAATGAGTTCCACAGATTAACCACCTTCTGACTGAAGAAATTCCTCCCCATCTCAGCTCTGAAGGGTTACCCCTTCACTGTGAGGCTGTGGCCTCAGGTCCTAGTCTCTCCGATTAGTGGAAACATTTTCTCCATGTCCACTCCATCCAGGCCTTTCTGTATTCTATAAATTTTGATCCCTCCTCATTCTTCTAAACTCCATTGAGTACAGAATCAGAGTCCTCAAATGCAAGTTCTTCATCCCAGGGATCGTTTTTGTAAACCTCCTTTAGACCCCCTCCAAGGCTAGAAAATCCTTCCTTAGATGTGGGGCCCAAAACAATTCACAATATTTCAAATGCTGTCCAACCAGAGCCTTTTATAGCCTCAAAAGTATATCTCTGCTCTGTATTCTAGCCTTCTTGAAACGAATGCCAACATTGCATTTGCCTTCCTTACTGCTAGCTGAACCTGCATGTTAACCTTAAGAGAATCCTGAACTAGGACTCCAAAGTCCTTTTGTACTTCATATTTCCAAAGCCTGTCCCCATTTAGAAAATAGTGTACACCTCTATTATTCCTGCCAGAATATATGAACTCAGACTTCCTCACATTATAGTGCATCTGCCACTTCTTTGCCCTCTCTCCAAGCCTGGCCAAGTCCTTCTGCATCCTCCCCACTTCCCCAATACTACCTATCCCTCCATCTGTCTTTGTGACATCTGTAATATAGCAACAATGCCCTCAGTTCCTTCGTCCAAATTGCTAATGCAGCCTCCAACATATCCTGAAGATGGTCAATTCCTTGAATCAAGAATTTAGCTGAGACTTTAGCTCATTGCTGACTCTGCTCCAAGTTGTCATCATTGTTGAGCTGTCTGCAATCTCAAAATCTTCCTCTTGTTGTGGTTATAAAGATTTATTTTCGTAGTCAGTCTGTTTGGGTATGTTACAACACACCTCCAGGCAGGTAAGAATTAAACATGGACCTTCTAGCCTAGAGGTAGGCACACTACCTCTGGGCCACAGATGCCTGTTATGTGGTTATACAGTGTATTCTGTACACTGGCACATAAGTGGGACGGGGACAATGAAGCTAGATTATGAGCCAGACAGTTGTAGGTTAAGACTCTACATAGAATCTTCTATACAAAAAAAGGTGGATATATCAGTGGTGAAACATCGATACTAGAGAAAGACCTGCATTCTCAGATCAACCCTCTGAAATATGTTAAACTGAGGCCCCTCTTACTCTTGCAGGTAAATATGAAAGGATCCCACAGCACTATTGCAAATACGCTTGAGGGAGCTCTCCCTGGTGCCTAATACCACAGCACTGAAACAAATAATCAGTGTGCCATGAACACATTGTTGCTGTATGCAAACTGATACCGAATTTTCCCATATTACAACTTCAACAAAGAAGGGACTCAAATGGATGGCTTGGAGAAATCCTGGAGTTGTGACAATTAGATGGTATGAATGCAAGAAAGAAAACTGCTTTGATTTTTTTGACACTTCTTTAAAAAAGAAATGCCCTGATGGTATTTCAGAAAAAGAAGCTCCAATCAGCCCACAGCTTGAGGCAGGGGCTTACAGGTAGGATGTTCAATGGCCTTTTGTTTTAACAACTCTGTGACCAATATCAAACCGCCTACAGTCAGTACAATGCAATGCAGAGTCTGTACATTCATAACAGAGCACACAGCAGGGTAAATATAGAGCGGTTGTCAACACTTCAAGCTCGGGATATTTAAAGCAGAGAGACATTTCACCTTCTCTCCCACAAAGTATATTGGAGTGGATGGGATATTAGAAGGAGTTAATCAATGGGGCAGGGTGGATTTCTTTAAAAAGATATTATTGAAAAGAGTTGAAGGTAAACTTCAGATTTTTTTTAAGTTAGCAAACTTAAGGGACATTATTGGACTCGGTGTATTCTAAGGATAGTTGTGCTGTGAGAGTCAAGGACTAGTTGTACTATATACACTTTACAAGGTAAAATATAGAGGGAAGTGAGACGTCTTACCTTAACCACATCCTCGTTGATTTGTTTGGGATCCCGGTTGACCAGATCGATTTCTTTAGTGATTCCATTTTTGAACTTGCGGGGATACTCAGCCTCAGCCTCAGTCATGGCCTGCGCGAGGGGTGGGTTAAAAAAAAGGCTTTACAATTCAAATGGCTTGAGCGATCTGCTGCACTCTGCCAAAGTGAACGGGAAACGTCCTGTTTTTGTGGGTGGGGCAGGTGAGAGAGGAGTCTGTGTGTGACTTTCTTAACTCTTATAGCTCCACTCTGGATGTCAGCCTGATATTATAGCAGCCTCCGCCCCCCACCCCTCACTGAGCTGGGAGAGGACACTGACAATCTGCAGCCTGCTCGCTGTTACATCAACCCGTGGCATTCCTTACAGAGCCAGAGTCTCTATTACACAGGGAGAGAGACATCACTGCCCTCACACTATTATAGCACATTCCCTGCCGCTGCTTTAATTATAACACTGCAGTCCGAAACCAGAACTGCAGCCGTGAATTTTTCTGATTCCCGAAAGAGGAACGAGGATAGAGTCAGAAAACTACCTCAATAAATTAAAGTTGGATTGAGATATTCTTGGAGACCGACTGCTGATAATCGACATAGGGCATTTGGGATTGAGAATTGGTTGTTAGGATTGGTGAAGGGGTATTTATATAAGGCAGAGGATGTGGGATCGGATACAGTATTTTGAGTAATGGATATTTGTGTTGGGATTGGCAACAGTGTACTGGGTAATGGATATTTGCGTTGGGATTGGTAACAGTGTATTGGGTAATGGATATTTGTGTTGGGATTGGATACAGTGTATTGGGTAATGGATATATGATGTTAGGATTGGATACAGTGT